CTGGCTGACTCTAAAAAGCTTTTGATCCCACGTTCGTTAAAACTGGATCCTGCAGCCCTTCATGCTCTGGGAAATGGTGCCCTCTTCCCTAAGATTCTCTTCTGGGGGCCCTTGGAGTAGAATGCAGAACGGATTGCCAAACATCTCCCCGTTCATTCCAGACAGTTTTCCACCCCCTTCCCCAAATGGAAACGAATCGTGGGTGATAGCATTGCCAGCAGCAGGAAGGCAAGAGGCAGGACGGCCAGAGGGGAGGGCTCCCAACGAGCCTGGCCAGAGAGGTAATTGGATAGGGGCTACAGAATGAGGACAGTAACCCAGCAGGGCTGGCGAGCAAGTGGAGGGTCTGTGCCAGGGAAAGGATTTGCCATCAGAACCGCAGGGAGAGAGGGAGAGACAGACAGAGAGAGAGAGAGAGGAGGAGAGAGAGAGAAGGTAGGAGTATGGAGAGAGGAAAATGACAGCAAAGGACCAAGGGAGGGAGGGCAGGGAGGAGGGAAGCAGGAAGCAGAGGTGGAAGGAATCAGGTAGTTCTTGGAAAAGGTCAGGAGGAGAGAAGGAGCATGGATCTCCCTTTAGTCCGAGTAGGGTAATCTGGGCAAGAGGATGTTGAAGACTCAGAGAGATGGTCAGTCATACCGCCCCCACCCACATGGCAGATTAGAAATGAGAGCCAGGGAACATATCGAAGGATTTTCTCATTCCCAAATGCAAAGTATTTGGGATTAGCCACCATCCCTGCCTCCAGGAACGGGGAAAAGACAGATTTCGTTAAAGGGTGCTGGAACCCGGAGGAGTCAGGCCACTATTGAGTCGCCTTCCCCTTTCCCTTAGCAAAAGCCTAAACAATTCAGGGTCCATGCCCCTCTGTCCCTGCCCCCTTTCCCCCCTTTCCCCGCCGCTGGAACACAGCTCAGGAACACAGCCCCCCCCCCCCCGCCCCCCCTGCGTGCCTCTGCCTTTGCTGGCTTCTCTGGGACAGGCACCAGACTTAAAGCCTGGAGTCTGGGCTGAGTCAGCACCGCCTGTGGGAGACACTGCTTCCTGGAAGTCTTGCTTCAAAGCTTCTGGCTGACCAAGCACCGGTAGGTAGCAAGAGGTACCCTGCCTGGAAGCTGGAGGTGGCTTTGGTTTTCAAGAGCCCTCTCACCAGAAAGTCATGGGGCAGAAATTTTCATAGTCCAGCTTAAAGAGTGACTCCTATGTACTTCAGGCTGCCCCAACACCCTCCACACTCTCTGATTCAGAAAATGGCATTTTCCAGAACTCACAAGAGGTTTCAGGGCCAAGATGGAGGCTCTGATTCCTGAATGATCTAGTTACTTCTCCTGAAAATTAGACAAAATGTACTTTGTAAGCCTCAGATGTCTATTTTCCAAAGATATGTTCTTGTTCATGGGGGCAGTAAGAATGCGTATGAGATGCTCCGTGTGGGCACAAGGCAGCCTCCTCTCTTGATTGAAAAAAAAAGGGACAGCATACCATTCGCAGAAATCAGCAGGCTGCTCCAGTGGTCAAGCCCCTGCTCTGTTTCTGAGGGGCTGCAATGGGGAGTCTAAGCCCCTGCGCCCCAGTCCGTCTCTTTAACTCGTGTGTTTTGACTCTCCAATGCCTGGTGAAGGGTCATTTTGATAATCTCGCTCAGCTCAAGCGAGCCCCCCCGCCCCCCGCTCCCGGCAATTGCTTGCTATGTATGCAGTGGGCACTCCAGTGGGCAGGCGGTGGGTGCTGCCGGACTCCTTCCCCTGAGAACGGATCAGTTGGTGCCAAAAGCCTATTTAAGCTCTTTCTGATCTCTGTGCCAGGGACTGCAGGTCCTGGAAGGGAGCCAAGAGTCCACCACGAGCCCTGCGTTCTTCTCCTCCCTCCCATCCGCCAAGAATGGGGAGGGAGGGCTTGGGAGCCCACCAAGAAAGGAGCTGATGGTTCTTAGACACATTTCCCAGCTGTCACACCTGCTAACACGGGAACTCACTCGTGCACACAGGCACACTCAGCAATAAACTGTTTCAGGCTTCCTTGGCCCATCTGTCCCATGCCCAAAGCAGGAGTAATAAGAACTTCCATCAACAAACTGTTGTTCCCCGTTTGCGTCCCTCCTCCCTCCCCTCGGCCCTTCCACAAACTTGACTGATGTGTAGCACCTTCCATGCGCCAGTCACTGTGTTAGAAGCGAAAGACACAAGAACATGGTCTCGGGGGAGAAAGTATCCACAAATATTAATCAGAGGCAATGCAGTAATATAGTGTTGCGATAGGGTAGGGGGCGAACTAGTGGCCCTAGGCCAAATCGACCCTATCGGCATGTTTAGTTTAGCCGGCAAAGAATTTTAAAAATTGGAAGAGTTCATGTAAAAATCGGTATTTCCAACCTTTTTTTTTTTTTGAAATGACAGATTTGGCAACAATCAGGAAGAGGTGATAAGCCACTGTCCCCTTTGGACAGGACATGCACTCACAGGTCACGCCACCCCACCTCTCCACCCCAGCCCTTCCCTATGAACTCCAACTGGCTGGTTTCCTTCATTCAGTCTTCCTGCAACAATTTGCAGGTGTGAGAATTCGGGACCCTTAAAATGAAAAGCTATCAGAGGACCAGAGGAGGGAACCATCAACTCTGCAGGATTGGTTAGCCCCGGAACCAATTTTAAGTATTATGTTGATTTGATTACTTGCTTATTGTTCCTGTCCACCACCACCACCCCCCCCACCGTGGGAGGGGCCGTGGTTGCTGCCTCCTGCACAGTATCTCGGGTGCAAGGCTGAGTGCCTGGTACCCGGCTGGTCTCAGCGCGTGCTCGGGTGCCACGTGTTGAATGAACAGAGACGCTGGAAGCACCAGGTGGGAAAGGGAACTCCAAGCAGAGGGAACTGGGGGCACAAAAGCATGGCAGTAAATAGTGTACAGGGAAGCTGCAAATCGTTCGTGGTGAACAGAGATGCTGGAAGTGTGAGGTGGGTGGGATCCCGCAGGGTAGAAGCGTCAGGAGTTGAAGCAGGGAAAAACAGACTCCAGTGGGATCCTGAAGCACTTTTTATGCCGCCTCCTGATGGTAACCATGGACCCTGAGAAGTGATTTGAGGAGTGAAGTAACAGGAGCAGAGTCTTGTTTCAGAGATAAGTCTGGCAAGGTGTGAGGTGGGGAGAAGTGAGCTCCGGAGGGAAGACAGGAGCAGCAAAAAGAATTCCATTCAATGCCCCACTTCCTCTTTCTGAGGCCCCTGAAGCGCCGCTGGGGGATCTATTTTAAGAAAATGGTGCCCCCTGCTGACGAGATCTAGGATTGCACCTCCCCTGGGCCGAAAGGGGAATTCTGCCATGTCTGGCCCCAACAAAAGTACCTGGAAGCAGCCCCCCCTCACCCCCGTACAGAATTGCAAGGGGTGATGTATCTGAGAGGAAAAGAAAGGCCCGTGAGAACATGTGTGATAATGACTAATGCCACAGGCTTGTCAGATAAATACGCAACACTGGCTAAACTTGAATTTCAGATAAACAGCACATATAATAAGTATGCCTCAAATACTGCACACATAATTTTTAATATAAGTGTGTCCCAAGTATTAGATGAGACGTACTTATTCGTAAAAAAGAAATTATGTATTGTTTATCTTCAACTCACATTTAGCTGGGCATCCTGCGTTTTTATTTGCTGAATGGGAGAGTCCCAGATAAAGTGTGTGGAGGGGCCGGGAGAAAACCAGAAATGAACTTGGAAGGGTTACTCTCCTGGAGTAGCTCTGCAACCTCAACCCCACCACCCCTCCTCTAAGTAGAGCTGGGGAAGATGCTTTCTCATATTTTGCAGTGGTGCCCAGTTACACCACTGTATTTAGGAAATCGCTTTTCATTAAACGAGCCCCAGGATGATGGTGGATACCATGTATGGACCCCTTTGAGAATCTGAAAAGAGCTGTGGACTCCTTACAGAAAAATGACCCTATGAGCTTGATACACACACAGAGACACGCTTATTTTATTTTATTTTTTCATGTACAGACACTTTTACTTAAAATTTCAGGAAGTTCCAAGCCTTCACATAAGAGTGACACATTCCTTCTAGGGCTGTGGTCTCAGTGTGGCAGTTCTAGACCCTGAGTAGGAGGCAATGGTGTCCAGTCAGAACCTAAACTGAAACATGGCACTTCGCCTAGCTCTGGCCACCCACATACATGACAAAACCTCGAAGTGGGCAGCAAGAAACATTCAGTCCCTCCCCTTCATAAATGCCTTGAACCTCTTTCGTCTTCCACTTCTCAACAGGGAATCAGGCATATTGTGAACTTATGCCTCAGCCTCATTCAGGAAGGCACTGAATGAAATCACTCTCTATTCCAAGACCCTCTTTGTTCCCCTCCCCGCCCTTCTTGCCATGGCAGGCAGAGCCTACTGGTTCTAAGGACTATGTCTGTCAGAAATTGCCTTTAATCAGTAGGTGAAAACCTTCCAGAGTAAATTCTGGATGCTCTGAGCTGGGTGATCAAAGCCATGGCTGGAACATTTTGGGAGCCGATCTTGGAGCAGGGTGTTCCAAGTCTCCAAGTCTCCCTGCTACGGCCCTAACTGGAAAGCTCTTTGATCCCCACAGCCTGCTCTCCTCCCAACCCTATAGAGGGAAGGCAGAAGTGGCCCAGGCCAGGGGGATGTTGTTTTCAGACTCTCTCTGAATGTTCTAAATGATGTAAAAACTTCATTGTCAGTTGCTTCCTTCTTTGTCAGCATGTTTGTGTGACATTCCAGGGTCAGTGGACTGCATTGTGGAATACAGCCCCCAAACTGACCCAAGTTGTATGGAGCAAACAATCATAAGGATACAATGTATTATCATAGAACATTTTATGTTGAACACTTTCTATAACTAAAAACTTATCTCATCTACACCATGGTATGATTTCCAACTATAATTTCTTTGGAAGAAGGGTCCTTTATTCTGAGCTTTTCCTAAAATTTTTAGAGTTAAAATGACTTGTTGTAAGCCATATTGGTGATAGGTTTTTTGTTTTTTTTTTAACGTCCTTACTTTAAAAAAAAAAAAGAAGAAAGAAAGCAAGCCAGCCCTCCAAATTATTTGGAAATTCTACTGGACCAGGAAATCCAAATGGTTGGGAACCAGTGGCTTAGCTCCCTGACCTCTGACACGTGGGAAGTGGAGACTCACTTCCAGGCCCTGCCTTCCCACAGGCATGGGACTTCCAGCTGATGCACTCTGGGGGGTTTCAGGCGTGTGTGTGTGTGTGTGTGTGTGTGTGTGTGTGTGTGTGTGTGTGTATGTCCTGGCCTAACCTCTCCCCAGGAGTGTTGGAAGGACAAATTTTCAGAAACTAAAGAGCTTTGGGAAAGGAATTCCATAAACATGAGATTGTGGTTCCTGAAGACAGCTGGTGTGTTTTCAGTGAGAAGGGTCGAATGATCCCACAGAGACCCAGGATAATTTCTCTGCCATGGCATCTGGAGAAAGTGACCAGCACTCATAAAATGTGCAAACTGTTCCACTGAGAAGTGGGACCAGACAGCACAGGCAATGGGTCTCCTGAGGAGCTTTGCTTCTCCCCCTCTGAGGGCACAGGGCCAAGACGTGACTAGGACTCGGGGAAACTTGAGTTCTAATTAATCTCGTAGGCACATACCCAAGGACCTACCACAGGTCCCCCAGCCTTCCCTAACTTGTTTTTCCATTTCTGTAAGGGACAGGAGCTTGCTCGGTCCTCTTCTGCAAGGGTGTCACAGGACTGTGGGAAAACACATCATCCGTTCCTAAATGCCTCGCCTGAGAGATGGTCCACAGGGAATGTTTAATTACTGCCCTTCAAAAAACGATGTAGACTTTCTTTCTTTTAAATTCCGGAATAGCTTTCCCCATGTTTTTACCCCAAATCACATTGGTGGGTCACTGCCCTTGCACGAGGCCATGTTGTGTCCAGGAGATGGACAAACTGCTTTTCCATGAGCCTGAGCACCAACAGCGGAGGAGGTCAACCTGATGGTTTGACCAAAATAGGCATTAAGTACAGTACACCCCCAACTGAAAACATAGTGTTCGGGGAAACTTGTGTGCTGGCTCCCTCCCTTCTACACATAGCTGAGAATTAACTACAGATGAAAAGTCCTTTGATCTTGAGAAACCTGAGGTATGAGGCCGCCCAGGGTTAGGGATCAACACTCCTTTTGTTGGAACTTGCCTGGTATTTCACATTTATCAGCCCTTATGCCCTGACATTGCTGACTTCCGTCAAACTTGGCACACTCGGGTTCCCCCGACCCGGGAGGTAAGCGTGCCACGAGGCACAGCGGCAGCTCATGCCGCATCTCCACCTGTCTCCCCTTTGAGCTGAACGACTGCCTCAGGGGAGAGCCACTGCTGCCACTTGACCCGACTGAAGGCAGGAGTATGGCGGGGGGGTGGTGTAGGTGGGCAGTTGAAAACCCCATTTCCCACTTGGCTCCACTTCCTCCACCTTTCATCTTCCCACATGCTCCAGCTCAAGCCTCGCCTTGCCCAGACACTTGGTTGTTGGCGCTGCGCGTCTGAGATGCAATGATTTGTTTACCTGTCTCCCTATTAGACTGTGAATCCCCCGCGGAGGGTAAGTACTGGTCCTACTCAGCTTTGAACTCCCAGCAAGTTCACAGGATGTGGCACACAGGAGTGATGTGTTAGACGGGCAGACAGGGGGGCTGAATAGACATACCAGCAGCGGGCTCTTGGCACACAGTAGGCAGGACGTACTTGCTCTAGTAGCAGGTGAGAGCCACGCTGGGCTGTTGAAGATTCTGTCTTGCTCTTGGTGCCTAGCATTGGGCATCTCTGAGACAGCCAGTTGAGAAGGGCAGGGGCTGGAGGTGGAGGGGACCGGTCTGATGGTCAGGAGAACAGGCCTGTAGGCCCCTGGCACTGGTCACACGCTCTGACCACCTATCCAATCCACAGAAGACAGTTTGGAAGAACTGTCAATCCAGAAGGGAAGGGGCTAATTGAGGCAAACTTTGGGATGAAAAAAAAAAAAAAAAACAGGGGAGAGGGGTGGAGAAGGAAGGAAATTCAGCCAGATGTACTTAAAACCTCTTCTCTCAAGGAGTTCAGAATGAGAGGGGGCGTTTGGGGGCAGAGCTACAGCCACACCAGGGCCCCTAGGGAGCAACACGAGTGCAAGTGAGGCTGGCTTGAAAGGCTGGGGAGGGGTGGCGAGGCAGCCGCTCAGGAAGGAGGCTGGGCTCCCAGCTGGAGAGCCAAGGGGCTCGGGCTGCTGAACAGATGGAGTGAAAGTTGCAGCTGGTGGAAATGCACTTTCATGTGTAAAGTTTGGTCCGTGGAGGACTGCAATTTCCAGCTCTGAAGGCGGCCGTGGGCAGGTGGCTCCGCTCCATGCTCCGCCTTCTCCCCCCATTGCCACCCAGGAAACTTGACGGAGGCTCTGTGCCAGCACCCAGCCACCGTGCCTTCCGCCAGCATCCCTTTCAACAGGCAGAAGTTGGCATGGGGACACCTTGGCACAGCCACAACGGCGGAGGACTGCAATGCTTTAGCAACCGAAGGGCACGGGAATAGGATTCATCCAGCCTCCCCGGGAGGGGACCAGGTGGACCGAGAACAGATTCAGAGACGGAGGGAGGGAGTCGGCCTTCCCAAGCTGTTCATGATACATACACTGGGTCTCCACTCCGGGCTTGCTTGAGCTCCGGCTGAAGAGGAGGCCGTGGGGAAATGTGAAAACACAGCAGACTCTGAGGCTCTGGGCTCATCCCCCCCCCCCACCTCAAAGGAGGTTTCTTGAGGAAAGACTGTATCTGGAGTTTTTAAAGAAATATTTGCCCACCAGAACTTGAAGTGATAAAGTGATTTTGACATTCTCTGGCTCTAACAGCCAGCCACCTGTCCTGGCAGATTTAGACCCTCACCTGTGGGAACAGAGGCCACAAGCCCAAATGCACATCTATTCAAGTTCCTCCCTACAATGCTTGGGCTCTTGGGGGAATTAGCCACCCAACCGGGTTTCCTACACCTTAGAGGGAGCTTGGGCCAAGAGCATCAAGCTCTGCCTCTTCCCTCCCCCTTCTCTCTTTGCATTAGGCTGTGCTCCAGGTCATCCAGAACAGAAACTGCCAACTCTGTCTTGTTAAAATCGAAGTGCTTTTTTTTAGAACATGTGATTTTGCTTCCTTTTCTTAAAAAACAAAACAAAAAAAACCAAAAAACACAAAAACCAAAAACAGACTGGAACCCAGTCCTTTATCCCTATTGTGTCCATTTGCTCAAGAGATGTCCATATTTGAGATAATAACTTAAATATTCTTGAAGTGGAGGTAGTCTCTCTCTTCCTAGTGGGATGTCTTCTTGGCTCCTTTCCCAAACTTGGCATCGAGACCGAGACCTATGAAAAGGGAGAAGATGGGCTTAGCTTTACGAGGAGAAATGAAACCTACCAATGGTTTTGACAGTGGCATGGGGGGAGGGGAAGATCAGCCTTCATTCTCCAAAACTGGGGCTTTAAAGAAAACTAACTCCAAACACTGGTTTTATAGAACTCCCTCAAAGAAAAAGTATGGCATCAAATGAGAAAAATCACCAAGACACAGGTAATTATGTATATATCATAAAATACAGTAAAACTAAAAGAAAAAATGTCAAAACTTCAGCTAGTTCTCTCAGCTCATCCATGGCAGCACAAATTGGTAGGGAGTAAGTTTAACAATTTTACCCTGTTCAGTGTCTGAGGAAACCCATGCCACTGGAGGAACATCACTAAAATGAAATGCTCATTAGGAAGGGTGGATGAGAGGCAATGCTTCCTTTCCTTTTTAAAAAACATCTTCTCTAAAATAACTAAATAGGGGTGCCTGGGTGGCTCAGTCGTTAAGCGTCTGCCTTCGGCTCAGGTCACAATCTCAGGGTCCTGAGATCGAGCTCCGCATCGGGCTCCCTGCTCCGCGGGAAGCCTGCTTCTCCCTCTCCCACTCCCCCTGCTTGTGTTCCCTCTCTCGCTGTGTCTCTCTCTGTCAAATAAATAAATAAAATCTTAAAAAAAAAAAAAAGAGCGTTTGTATTTTAAAATTAATTAAATAAAATAACTAACTCACTTTCATAAATATACATTTCAGGAAAAAAAAAATCTTAAAGCTCTCTAACAGGGCACCTGGGTGGCTCGGTCGGTTAAGCGTCCGACTCTTGATTTCTGCTCAGGTCATGATCTCAGGGTCCTGAAATCGATCCCCGAGGCGGGCTCCACACTGAGCGGGGAGGCTGCTTGGGATTCTCCCTCCCTCTCCCTCTGCTCCTCCCCACTCCCTCTCTCTCTCTCAAAAAATTAATTAAAAGAAAAAAGAAAAAAGAGAGCCCTGTGACTGTTGCTGCACATGCCCAGACATGCGAGCTCCGCATGGAACTTACCCAAGAACACAAGTACGGTGCCCACCCACTGCAGGTGGCTGATAGGGTTGGCGAAGAGGATCACAGAGGCCAAAATGGTGAAGAACTTTCGAGTCGTGGTGATGATGGAGCAGGTCAGGGGGCCAAAATACACAACTGTCATGAAGATGAAGCTCTAGAGAGACCGGGAAAGCAGGGTCAGGCTGGCTCTTGGGGCTCTGCCCCAAGGTCAAAGTCTGTGACAGGACATCAAGGCTAGGCTTGCCGCCCTCTTCTTCCAGCTGGGTCGGTCTCCCTCGGGGAAGCCAAGCTACCCGGTCTCAAGGCACTCACCTGACCCAGGGCACTGGTCAGGCCAAAGAGCAGGATGTTATAGATGACGGCAGGGTGCCTTTCGGCAAAGCTCAAGAACGCCCAGAGCTCCCCAGTAAACAGGATTCCTGGGAATAAATGGCAAAGGATGAATGACGCACCTTGTGTGCCTGTGCCAGCGCACATGTCTATACACAGTCCAGGAAGGTAGTCCACAGAGCAGCATGCGGGAAAGTGCAGGGACTGAGTTCACACTGTCCTGTCATGCACCTTGCTCCTAGTTTTCTGATTAGAGAAACTAACTACAGACTCTTCCAAGAGAGGCGTGGGAGTCGATTAGCTACTTCTGCCAAAGTTACTGGAAGCAGAGATCCTCAGATGTTGGGGAGATACTGACCCACACATCCCCAGCTCAAGGCAGCCCCAAGCATGGCCACCTCCAGCCATCAGCAGCCTCCTCCGTTAACCCCACTGTGCTGTACCAAAAATACTTCCCGCATGCGCCCAGATTTGAACAAAGGTTAGGAAGCACTGATTTAAAAGACATGTGTTCATATTCGAACTACATTCAGTATATACCAATATCTCATCGCTATCAAAAGAAGGTGAGTTCCCAAGGTACCCCTGTGACCTACTACTACGTGTCCTCCCAAGGAAATTGGCACAGGTCTACCTATGATTGTGTCAGTCATGAGTAGCAAGCAGAGCCCGCCAGGGAAAGTTTCTCCAAGAAGGTTTTTCAGGGGCTTGGACAGAAGGGCATCTCAGAGCGGAGACAGGCCTCTGGCCTGGGCAAAGTTAGCAACCAGCACCCGCGCTAGGGATCAACTGGAGGATGGCAGTCTGCCCTCTGGTGACACATGGAAGAACAGCAGAACCGCTCCTTACCAGCTCCCAGCAGCAATGTCGACCAAAGGTTGATATTCAACATCATGTGGTTGGAGCCTGTTTGGTAATGAGCCCGCATGTGGTCCTGGGAAACGCCCGTCAGTCCATCCAGGGTCAGAGACAATAACTGGAAAAGAGAGGGTGCACCCTGCAGCAAGAGGGCCACCAGGGCCCCTCCCTACCCCAGGACACAGGACTCTCACTTTTCTGAGACTCCTCACAAAGCCGCTATCTTAAGACAGAGTCCTCAGAACAAAATGCTACCATTCGGTCATGGGTGGAGGGTCCAGAGAGATCATGCTCACTGCCTCCTGCCCCCGCCCAGGTACTAGAACAACAAGCTATCTGAGCCACACAGTAATGTAATCAGAGTGGGATGGAAAACCTAGCACTTCCCAAGGCAGTGCCATGAAGCCTCGTGTGCAGGGGCCTGGAACCCGTGCTGAGCCATGTATTTTCCCATATGAGAGTGGAGAAAGGACATCTGGTACTGGCCCATTAGTCTCCTGGCCTGGAGGAGTGCTCCAGACTAGATTCTCTGGTCACACTGCCCAGATAAGGAGCCCGGGCAAAGTTAGCCACTACCTCTGCCACTTCATAGCCGTGTGACCATGGCAAGTGACTTAACCTCTCTGTCTCAGTGTCTTCATAGGGAAAATGGAAATAATCATATATATAAGGTTATTGTTGTAGAGATTAACCAACTAATGGGTAAACCGCTGGGAACAAGGCGGAATACACAGTGAGCAAGAGCTATTATAGTATTATTTTTAAATTCTGGCTTCCAGGTTTCTCAGAAAGCCACAGTGAGTGACGCGCTATTCCTTCCCTATTTGCTCTCAAGTCTCTCCGGCCTCACACCAGCACTTAAACACAGGCCTCAGAGTCACCCCTTCCCCAGGAGAGCTGCGCTGTTGTTCAGTATTTCAGGCTTCCCACTGTGGCCTTAGGAGAGCTGGGGGCCATGCGACAAGAGACAAAGCCGAGAAATGGGGGGCAAGGGGCATCGCAATCTCTCTCTCGACACATAACTGGCCCTTCACATGCCCAGGTGGGATGCTCCTTGGTTGGGATTACCGGAAAGGGCTGCCTTTCCCACCAGGATCACATACCAGAAGCAGTTCTCCGTAGCCAACTGTGTGTTCTTCCATCCCAACTACTTTCTTGGGTTTGTACATGAAAAGGGCCACTCCAGCCACAATTAGCAACACACACAGGTACTTGGCCTTTGGGTACTTCTTCTTCAAGAGGGTAACTCCAAGGAGCATGACTACAGGGAAGAAACAGTGGAAAATTCGGGTACCCACAGGCACTGATGAGCCCAACACCGTCCTCTGAGGAGACTCCGGGGAGAAAACAATGTCTGAGAAGGAAGGCCTAAAGAAGCTAAGAGGAAGGCGCAAGGCTGGCACCTGGACAGAGAGGACTGAGCAACGAGGAGAACAAAGGGTAGAGGCAGGGAAAAGGCAGAGAACAAAGGTGAAAGGTCCAAGAAGGAACAGGGAAGGGGTGGGGACAGCGGATGAGTGCGAGGTTGAGAGAAAGAAACTGACAACGAAAATGGGACTCAACTCTACTGACAATGTAAGCACTCAGGACACCAAAAGGACTGGCATGTGAAGCAGACTAGGTCAGCCTCTAGCTTCTGGGCCATGCACGCCCAACACCACCGGAAGTGATATGGAGGACGGGATGGCAGGGGGAAGGGACGGAGGGCCGGCTCTGGAGACAGCTGTGATGAGATGACAACCCCGAAGGGATACACAGCCCTGGCAGAGGAGTAGAGAGCCTGCTACAGGAAGAGTGAGGGTGGTAGGGGGAGACCACCTGCTTCCACTTACCTGGGATTGGCTTGCAGGATTTACCAAGGACCTGAAACAAAATTCAGCAAATAGTACCTGAGCCTCTGGGATGTGCCAGGCACTGTGCTAGGTGCTCTGTTAAGAAAAGTAACTGTGGGGCCTGCACCAGAAACCACAGTCTATCATGGCCAACCCACCACCACTAGACCTCAGATCTATGGTTCTTTGCCCTGTGAATTTCTCCAACATATTCCCTTTTGTTTAAGTCACAGACCTGAGCCAAGAATTCTTAGTTCTTTTCAAACAATTTCTGAGTCAACCCTCATCACACCCTGAGATTTCACCTGAGTCGGATAGTTGACAAACTGTAGTGCCGAGTTGCTGGAGACCATGGCACCCAGATAGGAGACAGAACAGGCAGCATAGAGCCAGCTCCGGGTACGATCCACCCTGGCAGTGTCAAAAAACTGGATCACTGGGAAGAGACAAAAAATGTGTAGGAGAAACCTGGTGGGCCCAGGATGGGCCACTGAACCAAAGTTGAAGCCACATGAAAGGAATGTGTCAAATAAGACGAGAAGCACAAGATATTTCTGTCCTCCTAGACTGGGAAATCTCTGAAGATTATTCAACTCTCCAATCTCACCTACACCTAACACAAGACCACATGCAGAGCAGGAATGGGGGCTCATTCAGTTCAAGGGGCTCATTAGCTCTGCTGTAGCCCCCACGGAACAAAGAGAGCAGCTCAAAACATGTTTGAAGCGGAAACATAAAGGAAAATCAAAGGGAAGAAAGAAGAAAAAAACTAAGTATTCTCAGTGGGGATCCGGCACACAGAAGAACCATTCTCTGCACATTTCTGACTCAGAAGTTGGTCTAATGTAAGGAAATAGGGTTTTACTCCATTCCAAAGCCATTCGTTTTGTAGACTGAACACCGAGGCTTTGAAAACGCTAAAGAGGGTGGGAGTGCTGACAGTTAAACCTTAAAGGTGGATAGGGAGGGGGCACACAACAGATGACTAGATAGGTACTCACAGATCTTGGCAAACACAGCATTGATCACACATTGAATGAAGACCAAAGTTAAGGCAAAGGTGAACGTCTCCTGCTTGGCTCCCTCCCCATACTTTCCTCTTGTTCTAAGAATGAAATGATGAGAGAAAAAAAAAAAAAGGAGAAAAGTTAGTGTATTTCACTCAGTGTCATCTAGTATGTCTAGAGTCACCGAAAGCTTTAAAATGATCTTGCTTCTCTGGATGTAGGGACAGTCTGGTAAGGTTCACTGGCCTCATTCACAAAAGGGGCTGATTTTATTGGATCTAGAAGCCAGATATCCCAGCCTGCGGATCCCGTAGCTTAGGGAAAGAATATCCGTAAAGGATGGAGCTAGAGGAAACGTGGAAAATTAGACGGTGAAACAAGATACCCCAAGCAGCAGATGAAGGGATCTGGGCTGCAGCAGCAAGGCCGAGGGCAAAAGAATCCGCTGTCCGCAAACATCTGGAAGTACCAAAGAGGAGCTGGTACAGGCAAGGAAACGTGTGTGTGGAAGGGGGTACAACTGCCAGCCCGTAAAGCCCAAGCCCTTAGAACCATAGGGAGAAAAACAAGGGAAGAAAAATAACCAGGTCCCGAGTATCCCGAGACCAGCTTCCGCGTTTGGGAAATCTGAGCAGGCTCAGCCGCGGCTGCAAAGGTGTCGGGTGCTGGGAGCGGGCAAGAAGGAACACCTGGGCCAGGGGCGGGAGGCCCGCGAACCGGGCCAAGGGGCGAGAGAGGGGGCAGGTCTGCGCTCCGGTCCCGGGGATCCGCTCACATCTTTTCCTGCAGGATCCCATAGTAGAAATAGCAGACAAAGACGCCGAGGAAGCACAGCGGCAGGCGCAGCCGGTCGGGCACCAGGGAGCTGCTAGCGGCCATGAGACGCCCGGACGACCCGACCGGAGACCCGCTCACAGCCGGCAGCGGCAGCGGCGGCGGCGGCGACAGCTCCAGCCGGACATCGCCGACCGACGACAGGGGCCTCATAGGAGCTGCATGCGACCGCCGCTCAGTAGGCCCCAGCAGCCACCGCCAGAACTGCCGGCTCAGGGCCTCCAAGGGGGAAACGCTTCGGGACCCAGAAAGCGCTTCCAAGGAAAGGAGACCCGCCCTGGGATCTCGGCTTCGTCCCTGATGGCCGAGGGAGCCACCCACCCTGACATTAATGCTGTGCCCTGGAGTCTTCCGATCAGGCAACTCCGAGGACAACTGCGACCCGGAGCTCGACGGGATGGCCTAGGAGCTACGCGGGCGTGGAATGATGACGTATAAGGATGTGGAGGTCACCAATTGGCTGCGCTGTGTGAAGACAGACAGGTGAGCTGGAAGGAGGTGCGGCCGGCCGGGTTAATCCCAATCTCTTCCCCAGTCGGCGGTCAGGCTTCCGCTGGGTCCTAACGCCAGGAAGTCTCAGCGGACCCTCAGCGCCCCCTAGCTGCTGCCCCGAGTCAGCGCCTCCCCTTCTGCAAGAAGAGCGTTCAAGGCTGGCGTTTGAGAGCTGTCCTCCTTCTAAGGGCACATCCCTAGGCTTCCAAAGGGGTAACCTACGCGTGTCGCCTACATTCCGAGCGACAGTTTTCCCAGCCTGGAAACTTGGGATAGACAATTAGTAGCAACCACCTTGTCGCCTCTCGACTGTTCTGAGGATTAAATGAGCTGAGGTTTGTGAAAGTGTTTCAAAAACTGTAAAGTGTGCTATGCAAGTTTAAGGTATCATTAGTCATCACACTTTCTCAACGCTGATCTTATTTCCTCACATCCTGGAGGTGGAAATGGAAACTTACCAAAGTGGATTTTCTCCGGGGTCTTACACCTCACCAACAATACAACAAACCCTCCTGCTGCCCTCCAGATTCTTTCCCATTCATGACCTCCTTTTTGGACCCCTTCCTCATCCAAGTGTTGGCCCTCCACCTGCGGGCACCAAGAGCTAGGGCAACACCCCAGGACTTTCCACTACAACCCCCAAGCCCCACTTAGTCACTGGACTCTGGGCTGCTATCTGGGTAGAGGCTCCTTCTCTGCTTCTGACAGCCCGCTTCTTTGGCACCGCCTCAGGCAAAGGAAGGAAACTCAGGGCAGCACCACACCCATCACTCCAGGCCCTGACTCACTAAGGCTTTGGGGGTAGGCCAAACATCTTTCAGGGGGAGGGGTAAGAAATAGAAGATAATAGGGTCTGTCCTCAAGCCCCTGTCTCTTTTACATCAGTGCGGATGGGGCCCCCACATTTGCTCTCCCGCCCAGTGGCTCATTCCACTGAATCAGCCTGTGATCCCCAGGGCACCATACAGTAGCTGGGGTGAGAGACCTGGGTTGCAGTCCCGGCTCTGCCGCTTCACTAGCTGGGACTTCAAACAATTCTCTTGACCTCTGAGTCAAACTAGTTTCCTCATCTGAAATTAATACGAAAATAGTAACAAGTGGGAGAGCACTGTGGTTAAGAAGCATGGGCACTGGATTCAAGGGATCTGCTTCCCCATCTTAGCTCCCCCACTTCCTGTGTCTTGGGGGTAAAGTTATACAATCTTTCTGTCCTCTCATCAGTACAGTGGGATTTATCACATTTCTCTCATTGGGTTGTTGTGATATTTCGGTAACATTTTATGTCAAGCACTAACAGGGTATCTGATGCTTACCGGGCCAATGAATGGTAGTTGGGATAGCCTGCCTTAGGAGTTTGTCTCGAGGTCTTCTGACATAGATACAATTGTAGTTATTATGACTGCCCTTGGGGTAGTCAACTTTTCACCCATACAGTGGGGATAATATGTCGTGAAAAAGCTTGTAAAGCGTAAAGCACCATCAGAATGTCGGGATGATTATTCCCATTTCTCCCCAAAGCCTCTGAGCTCTTACAGGTGCAGCATTATAAAGCTGAGAGGCTGCAAACCCCTCTGTGTTGTGGGTACTCACGAGAAGGAAAGAATACTCCAGTAGAGCTAAAGCTTCCCTAAAACTGCGCCGAGAGATTCAACCCGATGACCATTCCCTGGTCCTGTTCCCCTTGCCGGTGCACCACAATGTCAAACTTGGTCACCCTCACTTCCCCTCTGAAACCCACTCTCCCTAGGGAGCTTTTCCAGACTCATCCAAGAAAAAATGACTTCCCCCACTGCCTTCTTCACCCCACCCTCCATCACCCCCTTCATTCTGGACAGGCTTTCCGTGGACCCTACTGCTTAGATGTCCATCTAAAGAATCCAAGCCTGGTGACCTGAGGACAGGGACTCTGTGCATCCACGTAACACCCACATCCACATCATTATGTGTTAAGTAGAGACCCCTCTTGAAGACAAGGATGATCAATATCACACGCTCAATCCCCTCTCCCCAAAAAATGTTTAACAGAACCTCAAGCTGCTGGGAATACTTATTTATTTGGTCTATTAACACCAAGATCTGCAAAAAACAACTTCTAAACACAGGGTAAGAAAACTTGAACATTAACATTCTTCTTCAGTTTTGTGTAAGCTCTGCAGTACGGAAAATATACAAACTTCAAACAGCTGCAAAAATAGTGTCTTTGGGAGAAAATAGAGTTTCTACATCAATACAAGAAAAATAGGCATTTTTCTACTCCAACCCAGTCCCGGGGCAGGCGGAGGGTGTAGAGTCGCCGCTTGCCACCCGGAGGAATACCAGCTCTCCCTCTCCCCCGCCACCCACCTGGGGCTGGGCAAGCTGGGCTGCTTCAGACAATCTTAGGGTGAAAGCGAGATGAAAATGCCACTTGGGAAAACGCTTGGTTCCCCCCTCTGCCAGCAGCTGGATTGGTCAAGTGTTAGGGCCCTTTAGGGCTGCTTTGGTCAGCTCCTCCAATGAGAGGGAGGCACAGGGGTGGGGGCCGAGAGGATGGGGCTATCTATCTTCGGGTCTCCTCTTCCGTGGCTGTGGAGGAGAGAGAAGGAAATCTGCAGTGTCCCCTCTCCTTCCATCATGGCCAGCTTGCTCCATGACAAGGTCAAGAGCCCCACAGACAGTCCTTTTGACTCACACCCAGGGGTGGGGGACCCAAGACCTTCAGGTGAGTTTTCCACCAAGTGAGAGAGGTGGCAAGAACACAGATGTGACTCGTGAGCTGCCCAGCTGCTAGTGGAGAAGGCAGGTCCCCTCACATTCGGAGGGGCCGGTGTCCCTCAGAAAGAGGACCCGGGGCGTTGATACAATAAATGAAAGTGCTCGAAGGCCGAGAGGGAAGGGCTCCTTCATCCCCCACCTCAGGGGAGCTAGGGAGGGGCCTGCCACCAAGGCACTGGTCTCCATGGTGAAGTGGTGGGGTTGGGGCCCTCAGACCACCAGGGAACTCTGGAAAAGCACGGGCTCTTCTGATGGCGGGGTGCGCTGCCAGGGCTCGAACGGCAGCGAGGAGGCTTTGGAGGCCTCTGGATCCTTCCGAGGCGGTGGCCTGGGGCTGGCAGGGGGAAGGGGGGACCCCGGGCTTGAGGGGCAGTTACGGAAAATGAAGCCCATGCTGGGGAAGAGGGGCTTCATCAAGCTGACAGGGCAGAAGGCCGAGCCGGTTGGGTTGAAATGGACTTTGTTCTTGTCAGGACAGGAAGTCAGGAAGGCCAGGTCAGGACCTGGGGACCTGGAGAATGGAGAGAGAAACACACACACACACACACACACACACACACACACATACACATGCACACACACATGGGGGGGGCGGGGAGAAACAGCCAGTGAGAAGTGATGGGAGATATCATGGCATCAGGGGAGCAGGGGAGCTGGGTCTCTGTTCAAACAGGGTGGTAACTCAACCAAAAAACTACAGGCTGCTGAGCAACACCCAGTCTTTAGGCCCGCAGCAATCCATATTTTAGGAATATGGCTGAACAACAGGAAATCTACTTCAGCTAGAAACAGGAGGGATTGAAGCTAGACAGGAAGGAGAACTTCCTGACGAGGTGACTTTAGAAGAGGAGACCAGGGGATCTTTTAACTTGAGAGATTTCATCAGTAAATAGTGTTTTGAGGGCAGACCACTTGCCTAAAAGCAGAGACCCATGCAAAATGATTTTCTAAGACTTGGGACAGCCTAACGCAGGGTTTCTCAGCATCAGCACTACTGCCATTTTGAGCTAGATAATTCTTGGCTGTGGAGAGCTGTCCTGTGTATTGTAGGATGCTTAAGAGCATCCCTGGCACCTGCCCACTAGATGCCAGGGGCCACCTGTGTCCCCCTTAAGTTGTGACAACTAAAAATGTTTCCTGACATTGCCAAATGTTCCCAGGGCGCGGGGAAGGCGGGGGGGGGGGGTGTCTCCCACTGAAATCTACTGACCTAAGGAGTCTCATTCTTGAACACATTTGAAAGGTGTGATTTTTCAAAGCCCTTGCCGAGATGCAAGGGTAACAGCCATTCTGGGAAGGCAGGCCGACCTTAACAGGAGGTCTGGACTCTAACTCACCATGTGGTCTTGACCCACCTGCCTCACCTTGAATGTGGAAAGAACCATCCCCACCCTCCCAATCATGTGGAAGAAATGGAAGGATAAAGGGGGTGAGGTCAGGGAGTTCTAGAGTAAGGAATCCTTATGATAAAGAGGAGTGTCTGGCCATGCTCTGAGGGGAAGCGGTTGAGAAGCCGCTGGTTGTGAGGGCTCCTGGGGAAAAGGCAAATGTGTGGTGTGATGGCGAAGCTGTTACCAGTGGATCCCCCGACTGCCTTCCTCTTTATGTATAATATATAGACAGAAAAATGCACTTAGGGTATAGCATGGGAAGTTGATGACCATTTTAAGTGTAGAATTCTAATAATTCCAAACCCAGGAAGAAGAGCAAGACAGGAGGGGGGGTAGGGGTGAGCCCAGAGCGAGAGGTGGAAGAAGGAGGTGAAGACCCATGTGCTGGGTGTATCTGGGAAGGCCCGGGGTCCCAGCGGAGTCCACAGCGGCAAGGTCTCTCCTGACCAAGAAGGGTTCACAAGAATCCCACTTTATGGACGGTGAGGAATGGGCAGGAGAGGGTAATCTCACTGTGTGCATGCCCACGTGGGGAAGGTGACCCAGGAGACCAAGCCCCACTCGAAGGACAAAGGGCATGACCCTGAATGGCTTGATTCCCCTCCTGGGAAATCCAGGCCATCTTATAGGATCAGCAGCTAGGAAAAGGAAAATGTGACAGAGGAACTGCTAAACACAAGAACTTCCCAATGGGCAAGTGATACAAGGAAGAGCCCCCAATGAGCTGAGAATTTCTCTCCCAGGGCCTCTTGGAAAGGAATCCATAGGTCACCACCTCTTTTTTTTTTTTTTTTTTTTTTTTTTTGAGATCATGACCTGAGCCGAAATCAAGAGTCGGATGCTTAACCGACTGAGCCACCCAGGGCCCCAAGAGTCACCATCTCTCTCAAAGGATTAACACAGGGACAGGAAGCCTGGGGAGATGGCTTGAAGACCCCAGCTGGCATCGTGAGTCTGTGGAAGAATCAGGATGGGCACCAGCCTCATTTCCACAAGCAATCCCAGGCGGTGGCTACTCAAGTATAACGTGGACTGGGGAGAGACACAAGTCCGCTTAAGCTGCAAGATCTGGTCTTTTTCCTCCATACCACCCCTGAGGACCCAGTCTTCTTGGAGAGCTACATAGCAAAGCTGGGAGCAAACACCCCCGGGGGCCATGGCTTTCTCCCTAACTCCCACTGTGCCTTCTCACTGTACCCTCTGTCGCTACCATGGACTGTCCCTGACCTGTGACATGAATGGAGCTCTCAAGGCTCAAACCCTGTCCTAGCTACATCTCAGCTCACACACCAGGACCAAGTCTTCCTAACTGAGAATCTGCCCTTCTGACTATGAAGCTGGTGGGGGGAAGGAAATGAGCTCTTGGGGTGCCTGCTACGGGGGACCGGGTGGGCATCTGAAAAGGTTCAGCCCTCCATCCTCTCTGCTAATGGGAGGGAACCGTGGTAAAGAAGTCAGTCAACATCAGAACGGCTTCTGAACTCTCCCACCTGGTTTGGGAGTATTCCATCCACAGTCCTTCCTTGTAAGGACTGGAAATTTCTGTCTGGGAGTTCATGACCCTCGAACCACTAGAGCCACAGGGTGAAGACTTGACTCAGATGCAGGGAGGAAGCTGTTCAGGTCCCCCTGCCACTCCACTGGGGACAAGACACTTCTCATCTCTGCCTGAAGAGAACTACTAATATGTTCTCTCTCTCTCCGATTACCATCTAGCAAACTCACACCTTCCCCAGGGATGGAAAAAAAAAATAGAAAAAACAAAGGGTTCAGGTTTCAGATCTCTTTCCTTTCCAGCTCCCACAGCATTTGTGGCTGGCATGTGGGCAGAGAGCAGGTTTCCATAGAGATCACGATAAGCAAAGATTGAAGGGCTCCGGGTAGGTAATGTCAACAAGTTTGATCGTGGAAAAAGTGTGATCCTGATCATCTGAAGTTGACAACGGCCCCAGGCTGAGAGAGCCCAAGAGGGAAGAAGGGCCTGTCAGAGAGGACAGTGCAGGGCTCACCCCCATCCCCAGCCCCGCCCCACCTCGCCCACCCCGTCCACGGTCCACGGTCCACGGTCCACAGGAGGTACTTACACGGCCTCTTCGAACACACGCACTCTCTCGCAGCCCTCCGGGGGCTCCCGTTTGAAGACGTAGCTGTGATTGGGCCGAGGGGAGGCGGCAAAGGCAAGGACCGGAGACGGGCTGCTGTCTTCAAGGCAGGCTGGGCGGCCCGGAGAGGGGGCTGCAAACAGAGTGAGGCTGAGGCCAGTGGAACTGAAGGAAAGGAGGCTCTCCGTTTTCCCGGGCTCAGGCTTCGGTGTAAAGGGGCGAGACTGGGACATGTGGTGAGGGGGTTGGCAGTGCTTATGCTAATCCAGGTTGTTTGTCCATGCTTTATTTACCTTCAAGTAGTTTTAAGAAGGCTTACAAAAATCTATATCTTGTTATACAGGATAAAAAAAATACAGTTGAGGGGCACCTGGGTGGCTCAGTCGGTTGGGTGACCGACTCTTGATTTCAGCTCAGGTCAGGATCTCAGGGTTGTGAGACTGAGCCCCACGTCGGGCTCCATGCTGAGCAGGAAGGCTACTTGGGAT